AGTGGCTGCCCCCAGCCACTGCAACCTCGACCTGCTGGGCTCCGGCAATCCTTCCTCCTCAGCCTTCCAAGCAGCTGGAACTATGGGCGCGCGCTACCATGCACGACTAATTTTTTATTTATTGTAGAGTTGAGGACTCGCCAAGTTGCCCAGGGAGGTCTCGAACCCGCAGGCTCAGGGAATCCACTCATCTTGGCCTCCCAAAGCGCTGCCTTTCAGTCTTTCAAATGTTACTTCTTGTAGAGCAGCTCCTGATTTTACCAGCCTAGATAAACACAAGTCCCCTGTTCTCCTCTTAGAGCTTTTTCAATTCTGATTTGGGTGGCAGATACTGCTATACTTGCTCCAGGCCTGCTATTATGAGGTATTAAATTTCTCAGGGTAGAAAAGTCTTTCCTGTTCCCTTAGCCCTGTCACATTTCTAACAATGTCTAAGATGTTGTCTACTCTAAACTAAATATAGGTATGAAGTCCCCCGAGAACCCCAAAACAGGAAAGAGAGGGCATTCTGGGCTTTTCTCTACTCTGTATGCAAGGACAGCAATTTCTTAAATGTGTTCCATGGAGCCTAAGGGATTATCCTTCAGATTTATATATATACACATATATTTTAAAAAATTTTTTAGTTTATTTATTATAAAGATGTGGGGTACAATTCAGGGTTAGGAATACAAACACTGATCATGCAGGTACCCTTCTTGATGAGGTATGCCCCTCCCTCCCCTAGCATTTTCCCTCAACTGCCAGTCCCACCCCCCTCCCCTGACAGTTTTCTACTACTGCCAGTTGCTTTCTTACAGCATTATAATTGTTCAAGGTCAGCTTAGGAGTGAGAACATATGGAACTCAGTTATATATATATTTTTAAATTTAATTTCTTTTGGTTTATTTATTTACTTTTGTAGAGATGAGGTCTCACTATGTTGCCCAGGCTGGTCTCAAGCTCCTGGGCTTAAGCCAATTCTCCCAAAAGCCTTCCAAAGTGCTGGTATTATAGGAATGAACCACTGTGCCTTGCCCAGATTTATATTTTTAAAAGTTTAATTTGAAAAAGTGGTTGTGCTGATTTAAAAGAGGTTAAAAAAAAAAAAGAGTTAGACTACCTCTGTACTTGTTTTTAAAGGTATGTGTTAACATGCAAGCATTAATAATGTTTATATGGGAAAGGTTTCCTAGATCAAATGCTCTTGGAAGAATGAAGAACCAAGAATTAGGGCAATAAAGAGAGCTGTACACTTAGGTCTTCTGGACTAAATTTTGGAAGTGGTATCTAAGAACCACAAGCAAAAATAAAAACAGCTGCCATTTACTCAGTATCCTATGTATACTGAGCTAGCCACTCTATATACAATTTGATAATCTTGACAATAACGCTGTGAGGCAATGTTATTACCCCCTTTTGCAGAGGGGCAAAGAAGTCAAGGTATTTGAAATAGGGTCACACAGATGGTAATGATAGAAGTGCCTGGCCTAAAATCTGCTGTGCCATGAAGCTACTCTATAACAAGTGCACTTCTGACTCACCAAATCAAAAGGAACATATGAAAGACCAGAGAAGGGCAAAATTTCTATAAAACATCTCACAGTGACCCATATACTTAAATAGGTGGCAAATGATAACACAAGGTTCTATTTCAAAATAAAATTAACAGTTAAAAAGATGAAAGTATGTTTTATGATAGACAAAATGACTGCACAAGGACACCACAAGATCAAATTTTGTTAAGCAACAGCTGTGGAGAACACAAATGTCTTGGTAAAATAGCTTTGTTTCTGTTCTCTACAGATATGAACTTGGCATGGTGGTCAAGAGGGCAGGTTCCAAGCCACAGTATTCTGGTTAGGTGCTTTATTTCTGTGTGCCTCCCTATTGTCAACAACGAAAAGGGGACAATCACAGCAGTAGCTATCTCCTAGAGCTGTCATGAAGATTAAATAGGTTAATATATGTCAAGGTCTCTGAGAATGGCTTTCAGATAAGTATCCAAAAACGCCACCTGCTACAAGTATTATGAGTTAGCAGGTCACTATACCTCTTCCTCCAAGACAGAAACTTGAATTTTAATAAAGCAAAATATGGAGCAGAGGGAATTTTTGCTGAAATCATCCCAAAGGAGAAGGGAGAGACAGAAGAAACTGATATTCTAAACTAGATGTCCTTAACTGGGTGGCACTGCTCCTTCAGGGCATTTAGGGTACAGTCAGCCTTCTTCATCCACGGGTTCCATATCTGTGGATTCAACTAACTGTGGATTATTAACACCACTCTGGGCTCATCAGAACAGTTTAAGAATTAAGACGCTATCAGGACCATGGCGATTAAGTTTTTCAAAATTCTAATTTTTGCTTGAAAACTCAAATTTTATCATTGGCAATAAATATCATCAGTTGTTTTCCTTGAAGAGATGGCCTCACTTTTACCTAATCTGTAACTCTGAACAGTATATCTGCCAGTTGTTCTTTCAAGTAAAATTGTTATTTCACAAAAAAGAAGTGTTCAGTCCAGCTTGTGACTCAGTTGCTCTGTATCTTCCTTGAGACAGACACAGTGTAGAGTTTGAGTGTGCAGCAGCAGTGCCAATGAACACTTGCCACATCAGCACACTGCATACTTTTCACTACTTTATCAAGTTCATTCTTGATAAAAATGGCATTTTTTTCTTATTGTGTGAGCACAGGGGTGAAGAATACAGTGACAACTAGTACAGTTTGGTGCTGCTGCCCTGATTCATGCTAAGGTGACAGCAGTTCTATCAATGCAAATGTCAACATAGTGGAAAAGAAATAACTTTTTAACATTATTACGAGATGAGTTCTGATCTCATGAACCTCTAAACTGGTCAGGAGGAGACCTTCCAGAAGCCCAAGGACTATACTTTGAGAATAGCTCTTCTAAAATATTTTTAACCACAGGCTTTCCATTGATCCAAGGGGAATCTGCAGAACAGCAACATGCACAGAGGAAAATGAGCCTTTACCAGGACTCTCCTGGACAGGGCTTGTCTCAGATAAACTTCTCTAAAAATTATCACTGTATAAAACAACTGGTACTGAGTATGACAAAGAGGTCCATACAAAGTCTGAATAATGCTTTTGTAGTTAACTAAGTTATAATTAAACTTTTAATTATGAATCTTGAATGGGAAAAACATTTCCCTTTAAAAAACTAATTAAGCTTCATTAAAATTTTTCTATATTAGTAACACAAATTTATCTACAAATCCTACCTAAATGTAAGAGATCTAAGTGGATCAGGAGGCTGAGGCAGGAGGATCACTTGAGCCTAGGAGTTCGAGATCAGTCTGGGCAACACAGTGAGACACTGTCTCAAAAAAAAGAAGAAGAAATCTAAGTTGAATTTACTTATTCTAAGATATCACAGGTAAAAATTTTTAAAAATTAAAAAAAATTTTTTGAGTTGGAGTCTTACTCTGTTTTCCAGGCTGGAGTGTGGTAGCACACTCATGGCCACCCCAGTGTCAGTCTGCTGGGCTCTGGTGATCCTTCTGTCTCAGCCTTCCAAGTGGCTGGAACTACAGGCACGTGATACCACGCCCGGTTAAATTTTTTTTTTTTTAATTGTAGAGACGAGGTCTTGCCAAGTTGCCCCGGTTGGTCTTGAACCCGTGGGCAAGCTCAGGCAATCCACTTGCCTCAGCCTCCCAAGGTGCTGGGATTACAGGCTGAGCTACTGAGCCCAGCCTCACAGGTAAAATTATAAACACTCACATGGATCTACAGAGTTCCCACTTCACTGGGCAGAGAAAACTCTAAGAGGAAATAATGACCTACCATCTTGGAAATAACAGACTCATTTCAGACATGCCAAATACTGTGACCATAAAAGCAGAATTTGGTTCTAAAGATGAACACTGAGAAGATAAAAACTGCATACAGGACTTCAGTCATACTGGCACAGGAGTTACATAATCAGTAAATTTGTTAATAATCACCAAGCATCTGTATATCTATACCATTCAGATAATTTTCTGGTCATTAAAAAGTTAAACCTGGGGGCTGTCAAACCTTTTCTTTAAGGGTCAAAGAGTATATGTTTTAAGTTTTGTAGGCCATACTGTCTCTGTCACAACTACTCAACTCTGCCTTGTAGGGTGAAACAATCCATGGACAGTATACAAATTAATGGGTGTGGCTGTGTTCCAGTAAAATTTTAACAAAAATAGGCAGTGGGCTATAGTTTGCTTATCTGTTTATTAAACAAGTAGACCTTGATACAGGGTAGAACAATTTGATTACAAAAAAAGTCTCAAAATAGTTATTTTGAAAATAAAAAAGAAACATGAGGATATTTTAAAATTAAAGCAGAACTGGTCTTTGTGCTCTGAAACCATAAAAAGTCTAACCATCTCTGCCCCATAAACTTAATTTAGAAAATTAGTCATATTAAAATTATTAAAAATCTTAACAGATTGGGATACAGAAAAATGTTGACTCAAAAAAGTTCTTCAGTTCTCTGAGTTTTAGGGAAGTGCTGCATTATTTGGTGCTCATTATAAATGACTATGCCATTTTCTATTTTTGTGTAACAAATAAAGTGCTGTAAAAATGAATTACCTCAAAACATTCCTAAGAGACAGTATTATAAAATACTGTCATTTTATAAATGAGGAAAGTGAGGTTTAGAGTAGGGAGGTAACTTGCTCAATTGTCAGACTGTAAATAGCAGAGCCCCATATTAATAGATCCACTTGACTTCAAGGACTGAAGAATTAATGATGGATGAGACTTTCCTGCCTCCCAGTACTACTGGTCTATTCTGCAGTTGTTACTGAATTAAAAAACAGGCAAGAATAGGACATGGAGGGCCTTAGACACTGAGATGATGATTTTCCCCCCTCCCTGAGGGTAACTAAGAATCTGTGGTTGTTAAGCTAGGAGTAACAGCGAATGTTCTGGTTTTCTCACTGCCTAGCTCAATAAAACATTCATTAGACAGATGGTCTTTGGTTCTTTTCTCTGTAGAGGAGGCTGGACTGAAGCACCCTCTTTCTCTAAGCTTCTGCAAAATTTGTCAATCACTTACATTCACTTTCAATGTAGGATATGTTTTCTCCTTTCACAGTTCAAAATGATGACCAAGAAAATAAGTTTTTAGCCATCATGATAAAAAAAAAAATCTAAATGTACTTGTGTTAACAGATTTCTGAACATTTTTCAAAAAGGAAACAAGGAAAATAACTCAAATTTTCTTAACATCTTTTTTAGTTAATCAAATATCAAATAGGAGGTAACTATTAACTGTAAGAAATCCTATTATCTATACAGAAAAAGGTCTGAATTGGATTATTCATGGCATGTAAGCCAGTGTGTGAAAAAAATATCCTATCAAAATCCAGTGATGTGTGAAGACTTTGTTTTTGAGTCACAGCCTCACTCTGTCACCCAGGCTGCAGTGCAGTGGCACGCTCCTGGCTACCGTAGCCTCAACCTGCTGGGCTCAGGCAATCCTTCCACCTCAGCCTTCTAAGCAGCTGGAATTACAGGAGTGTGCCACATACCTGGCTAACTTTTTGATTTATTGTAGAGATGAGGTCTTGCCAAGTTGCCCAGGCTGGTCTTGAACCCATGGACTCAGAAAATCCTCTTGCCTTCACTTCCCAAAGAGTTGGGATTACAGGCGTGAGCCACCAAGCCTGGCTGTGAAGACTTCTTAATTTAAGGAAAGTGTTTCAGAACCAACTCTGTCTAAAACCCCCAGCTCCAGCATAGCCCAGCAATCATAAAGGTCCCTCTCAGAGAAAGCACCAGAAAGGATATGAATGTGAGTGGGCAGAGAAGGTCTGAGGATGCTGCCCACAGATCTCATTAAGGAAACGAAAGCAAATGCAGTATGCTCTTTCCCACACAAACAACCCAGCTACCAACTACAACAAGAAAAGGCAAAAAATGTGTACAAATAAAACAAAGCAAAAACAAAAGAAAGATGATCAGGTGGAAGGAGACTCATTCTTAAATAAAGCAAAATGTCAAGCATCTGTGACCTAGTTTTTAATCCAGACTTGATCATTTGGGAGATCGCTGACAGTCAACAAAGGAAAAACCTCTCCAAAGTTAGGCAGCCCAGTTAGTCTCACAAGGTACAGCAGTGGAAAGGGGAGCATTTTAAGATGACATCTAATCCAACCATTTAAGGCTGTTTTTTGAAATACACATTAGAAGGTGAGAGCACACGAGGGTAACATGCAGAGGAGCAAAAAATAAAAGCCAAAAGCAAAAAGTTGGTGTTGTAAATATTATTTTTAGAATAACTGGATATTTGATTTTCTCCTCCTGGAAAACAGTTGCCTATATTGTGAATCTCAAAAGTTAGTAAATATAATCCCACAGTTGGGGTAGGAGCTGTGGCTACCTTGGGTGGCGCTTCGTCAGACCCTCCGGAGTCCCAGGACACTGTGGCCTGTCTTCTAGACTCCATCCTCATGCGCTCTTCTTGCTGAGCCTTCTCTTCCTCCAGGATTGTGCTAGAGAGACAACACATTGTTTTAAGGGGTGCTGACAACCAGAGTTAGCACACACCATACCCCACCCTGACTTATCTAAGGAACAACGGTTAGCCAAAACTAGATGACAACAATAAAGAAAGGATCCTATACATAGGAGAAAGAGGGCTTGGGTTTCTAACTTTTCATGAAATGGTTCTAGAATAGCCTTGGTCCAAATGGACAAGTTCATTTAAAGTACAGACATAGGTAAGAAAACGATAGCTGGTAAGAAAAAGAGAAGCTAAGAAAAAGAGAAGTTAGGAAAAATGAAGGATAGGGCCAAGATGAAATGTTTGTATGCCAGAGTTTATTTTGAGCAGAATAGAATTACCCAGAGAAATACCAAACAGCACTTTCTCAAGCATATACATGTCTGAGGGCAGATTCCTAGCATAAACACAGGCTCCCACATAATTGTGAGCACACCAACACGTTATGTGCCCAATTAGAAATCTGGCCAATAATCTCCCTAAATTGCTCAACACACTCTTCCTAACATTCAGCTTAACCAGTGCTTTATCGGATCAGGAAAATAAGGAAAAATACAACAGTATTTACAAGTGCTTCTGAAAATACTGTTTGCCCGTAGTTAGTAATACCGCTACTTACCACTGCTTGACTACTCAGAAGCTATTTGAAGTTCCACATAATGCAGCAGCCTCTGCAGTGACTGCTAGGCAGCGTCTTCATCTTGGCTGTTTGCCATCACATAAACCCCTCTGAACGCAGTCAAAGTGAGACTGTGCTAGCTTCCCATTCCACAAGGATTCCCTAGGGCTCAGTGGGCGGCAGGTCTTTGAAACCTTCATCCTAACTGGCAAACAGCTTTTTCCTACATGCCTCTAACTCTAGAGTTCTAATAATGAAGCTTATTCAAAATCTCTGGTCTCCTGGTAGATAGAGTGCAGTAAATAACCACCCAGAATTACTCAGGAAAGAGTGACATCAGCTGCACCAGACTCTTTCTAATCTGGGAATTTGCTCAACAGTTTAAAAACACATTCCTGCTTGGCTGGAGGCTAGAATGTGCTCTTTCTCACACAATCCAACTCAGGCAGTCACCTTCTGAATCAGGAAAAGAGTAGAAAATTCATTTCATAACTGCCTGGAGTCAACAAACCATCACTACAGATGTTAGGACTTCCCTTGTCCAAAGGAAAGGAATGTCTACCTCAAAGAAATGATCACATTAGCAGTTTATGTAAAAGATTTTAGTCAAAGGATCCCATTCCATTCTTAGATATGATTTTGGTTTCCTTCTTGTTCCAGTTAGACAACTATGGCTCAGAACAAACATGACAAAACTTTTAACAGTATTTAAGAATTTTGCAGCAGCCTGAAAAAACAGGGAAGATGATAGGACTGTTGGGAACCTGGCCCCATGCGCCAGGCCCAGGTGGGCCTGGTAAGCAGTGTAGACAGAAGTCTAGGGCTCCCCTCAGGCTGAAGAGAGGAATAAAGGAGATCTGGGGCTGGGAGCGGTGGCTCAAGCCTGTAATCCCAGAACTTTGGGAGGCTGAGGTGAGAGGTTTGAGACCAGCCTGGGCAACTTGGTGAGACCTCATCTCTACAATAAATCAAAAAAATTTGCCAGGCATGATGGTGCATGCCTGTAGTTCCAGCTACTTGGAAGGTTGAGGCAGAAGGATCACCTGAGTTCAGCAGGTCGAGGTTGTGCATGCCACTGTACTCTAGCCTGGGCAACAGAGTGAGACTCCAATTTAAAAAAAAAAAAGGAGATCTGGGCTGTGAGAACATCTGCAATAAGCCTTAGTTGTCCCCAGTAGGTATTTCTAGCAGGGCATTTGCTCATGGACTATTCATTCTGTATGTATTTGCTAACTTTCTGCTCTGTGCAAGGTGCATGTAAAAAGGTCTCTGAGCCGGGCTCGGTGGCTCAGCCTGTAATCCCGTGCCTTTGGGAGGTTGAGGTGAGTGGATTGCCTGAGCCCGCAGGTTCAAGACCCGCCTGGGCAGTGAGACCTCATCTCTACAACAAATCAAAAATCAGCTGGGTGTGGTAGCGCATGCCTGTAATTTCGGCTACTCGGAAGGCTGAGGCGGAAGGATCGCCAGAGCCCAGCAGGTTGAGGCTGCGGTGGCCGGGAGCGGCCACTGCACTCCAGTCTGGACGACAGAGTGAGACTCCAACTCAAAAAAATAAAAAAAATAAAAAGGTCTTTGAGGTGCTTTGTCTAGGGGGAAAGACTCAAAACCCTGAAACGGACATGAATATCGTGACTGAGGGGGACAGAAAAGCTCAGCCTTGGGCATTCTGAGTGCAGGACCAGTCAAAGGCACTGTCCCAGGCCCTGGGGGAGGTCAGGGAGGAAGAGTCCAGCAGGCTACAGTTATAAACTCATCCAAAGGGCACACAAGCAAGACATGACTGAAGCACAGCAATGGTCTCTGTTCATTTATTATGTGGAAGGGCATATCTTCATAATACAATTTTCTTTACATAATTTAATTTATGACTTTATAGGAACTTTTGTTATACTTTGAATAAAGTACCTGGCATATAGTAGCTGACATAAATATTTGCTGAATGAACAAATACTGCAGTATGTGGATAAAATACATGCATTACCATAACCCATTAGACATGAAACAGCTGAGGAAATTCAGGGAAAGTGGTGAAAATGGGAACAACAAGGCACAGTATAAGCAGCTCAGGGCTTGAGTCTCACTGAGTTCAGGTTTCAGTTCTACCACAGACAGAGTATAAGACCATGGACAACTCTATCCTTCCAAGCCTCACCCACAAAATGGGATACCTCCCTAACTACCTATCTTGAAGGGTTGAGATGAAGATCAAAATGAAAATTATATATTCAATGTGATAAGCTCTGAAATCCAAGAAACTTTTAAGAATGGAAAGAACTATTACAAATTCCTCATCAAATAATATCCTGTGTCACTAATGGCTACCATTCCCATGAGGTACTGCAAGTGTTTCTTTCTTTTTTCTTTTTTTTTTTAGAGATGTAATCTCACTATGTTGTCCAAGCCAATCTTGAACTCCTGGGCTCAAGTGATCCTCCCACCTCAGCCTTCCAAGTAGCTGGGACTACAGGCATTTTACAATGTGCCTATGCTTATGCAAGTATTTCAAATAAATTAAAGTTTGAGGTATAAAAGAGAAACCATGTATTTCTGCAAATCCGCCCAATTGACTATTGAAGTGTTACCAATATAATAACGAACTCTGGTCATCAATCAAATCAACAGACCGGCAATCAGCTTGCTAAAACAATCATTGGCACACAATGCCTTTGAGCTTGAAAAATATAAAGAAGTCACAACTATAAGGACCAAGAGCTGATACTTCGGTATGAGCCGATATAGCATCACCAGATCCCAATCATTTACTAGTGGGAAAGCACACCCTAACTTTCTAGATTATAAGACAGCAACATGCTAAAAGAGTACAAACATATCTATTAGAGCTGGCACACGCGCTCACATGAGGTGACCACCTCTGCTTTTAAAAGTGAAACGACTACTCTTTCTTCATTTCTCTTCCTTCTCCTCCATGCCCAGGTAAGTTCTCCAAATTTACTATCCTCTCTCCTGCCTCTCATGTGGTTTCTCATGCCTGGAAAAACTTTCTCTCCTTTACCTACCCAACTCCTATTTATATTTCCAGTGTCAAACGGTAGTTCCTCCAGAAAAATCTTCCCTGAACTCTTCTCTCTTTAGACTGAGTCACACTACTCTCCTACTTGTTCCCAAAGCAACTATTGTCTAACTTGCTCTTAACTCTTGTCAAAATGCACCATAAATGTCTGTTTGCTTGACGTGTGCTCCCACTAGACCAAGGGTTGCTACTTAAAGGCCTGTTCTCACATGCCCAGAAGTATCACAGACCTTGAGTCATAATATACATTAGTAAATGACAGGTGATGGATGTGTGAAGCCACACCAGTAAAGTGAGCCCACTGACTAGTGAACAGCACAGTACCATGCTTCCTGTTCTTTCAACTGGCCGAACAGGAAAGGACTGCCAGGCGCTTCCTTAGAGATGGCCCCTGGGAGCAATAGTCTAGTCAGAGGCCAGGGCAAAGTATGTCCCTGGGGAACAGTTTTTTAGCACTCTGCTCTTAAACACCTATGACCCTTAAAATAAACACCAGACCTTGAGTCAGAATTTCCTAAAATTTTTGGTTTTAAACAAGTGAAAAGTCCATAAAAATCAAGAAATGAAATTTGAGGGGGGAACAAAAATGGTCCTTTCTTCCACTTCTTCAAATAATTAAAATACAGGCAAGTTATGAGAAGGCTAAGTAGGATATATTCTTTAAAGCAATCATAACTTTATTTTAAATAGGTCCCATCAGGCAATTTTATTTCACCTGGGTTGTTTTGTGAAATGTGCCACCCTGACTTTAAGGGTACTGTTCTCTCCCAAAATCTCCAAACAGGTCACGTGAAGTCCTCTGCCATCAGGAGATCCATGTTCACGTCTATTCTCTGACCCACTGAATTTAATGTCTGAATCCTCCTTTCAGCCTTAATCACATATTGTCATGTTGTGGGATTTAGGTTGTAAGCCTCCCATGGTTATCAGATGTGGATCCAATTTCAATCATCAACTAAATGGCATTTGCATATTATAGACACTTCAATTAAATGTGACAGTCTTGTTACTCACAGGACATAATGACAACTAGGAAAGCATATGCCTTCCGTCCTTCATCACACTACTTCATTCTCACACCAAAAATAGTATGTCAAAATGCCTCTGATAAACCAAAATTTGTTGTTCAGAGTGAGCAAGAATATAAATAACTACTACAAATATCTAACTCCATAGATGGAGTAAGAGGGCACAAGGAGACGTTACTGAACTTTTCTCTTTTACTGCTGCTGAAGAACCGAGATCAACAAACCAGAATGTGCAGAGTGTCAAGGAGGTCAAATTGAAGCATATTTTCCCAAACTACAAATATTTTTAGTAGCAATGCATTCCATTTGAA